GCCACCAACCAACCCTTCTTTTTGTCCCGCAAGTGTCTTGATTTTAGTGTGACCCCCCAAGTGTCTTGGTTTTAGTGTGTGACCCCCAAGTGTCTTGGTTTTAGTGTGGTTCACTACTATACTGATTTTAGTATAGGGGGCGCGACATGGATCGTTGAGTAGAGGGGGGGGTTGGATGAGGGCCCTACTGTTGCTTGCTTTGCCCCGCAAGTGTCTTGTTTTTAGTGTGGTCACCCCAAGTGTCTTGTTTTCAGTGTGGGCCACTATTATGCTGTTTTTAGTACGGGGGACGCATCATGGATCGTTGAGTAGAGGGGGGGCTAGGTTTAGGGTCAGGGATAATTCTTGGTATTTTTGCCTTGTTTTTGTCATTGCCCCGCCCCCCCCTGCCTGGTCGGAGGGGGCAGGATACATGCAAAATACGGCCTTTTTCAGGCCGACTGGTTTTTTCTCGGCCGCTCATGCACGCGGGGTGGCGCATGCATAAAAATAAAAATAAATGTTTCTTGCTCAAAAAACTCCGAATATTTCAAAAAAAAAATCGGAAAACAGATCGGACACGGTTAAGGGCCCGTACAAACTTAGGTACCCTAACTTATGATACAGAGGAAGTATTATGTAACGGTGCCTTCCATGAAGTGAATCAGTCGAATCCCTAAGAATGCACTCTAAAACACATAGGAACAAAGCCACGATTCTAAGGACATGCAGTACGGCTCCTCCAGCAAACCCACCCCGAGCGTGAAACAGCCAAGCCGGTTTGGCATACAGTTCTCAGGCTGAACGAAAACACGCGCGTTAAAGAAAAGATATTACGCACAACAAACCAAAACAAGCGCCACGTGCACTATAGCCAGTCGTGGCGTGTCTGAGCCACCGTGTCGTTCTTCGATCTACGGAATTCAAAGTGCGTCATAAGCGCGTTCTTCAACTCCTCATGGGCTGCTTCCGGGGTCGTGGTGGTGCCGTCATCGTCCGCCGGGGTGGGGCTGGTGGACCCCACAGTACTCTCGTCCAACAAAGGGTCGTTGTCCCAAGCATCGTGGAGACCCGCCCTCCCTCCCCACTCTTCGACAGTCTCGAGCTCGTCGAGCCCGTCGAACGCGTGCAGCATGTTTTGCAAGGTGCAGCACGTGAAGAACAAGTTGTCGATGACGTTCTTGTCCTGGAAAAGGATTCCCAACTTCAGGATCCTGAAGCGGCCTTTCAAGATGCCGAAGAAGCACTCGACGTCTTTTCGGACGCTCTCCAGCGCTTTGCTCCACTTGCTCTCCATGTCAGTCTGACGGTATTTCGTAGGGAGAATGAGAATCCCCCACTAGATTGAAAGAGAAAACAAGGCATGGCGAAGGGCGTGCGAGGGATGCGTGCGTGACGGGCATGGTTAGCTGCAGCGCGGTAGAATATGAACAACTCAAGAACGTCCACAAAAACGGGGGCACGTGCAAAATAGAACCCTGACTCGCAACGCGTTGTGGCGGCAAGAAAAAGATGCGGGCTCTCCGGGCGGGGACGGGGTGTTTGTGCTCTGAAAGCCTCAGCCGTTGCATTTACCACGTGTCCTCGAGAGGCCGGAGTATTTCTCCCACAAAACTGATCGCCGATAGCCATAATGGGGGGGGGGAGAAGGCAATATTCACAGAAATATACCAGCACCGGCACTTTTTAGACCATGAGAGGCACGCACGGTTCTCGACGGAACGGTTGGGGGTGCTCTTACCAAAACCCTTGACCCCTTCGACAACAGAAAACATCAGAATACAAGCTACAGTAGCCATTCACAAGGACGATTCGGGGCGACCTACGTCGGACGGGTGCTGCTGCTACGTCCGGAAAACAGCGGTTGACCACACCGTGATGATACCGTNTGGGGTCTACCACGCTGTATACCCGAGCAGAAAGGAAAATAGCACCAGGGGGACAGCCGCTGATATTTCAACACCAAAGTTGATGGTCGTGTTTGCACTCCCTGTGGTGGTGGTGGTGTGTAGGGCGTCGGTTCTCGGGGGTGCCTCGGTAGCAACAGGTCGGTGGCGGAGTAGCCTGAGCTTCCTTTCATCTTTTGTTTTTTTATGTGACGTTTCGCGGCGCCTTCTTCCCCGCAAGGGTTAAAAGTTTACGGCGAAAAATCACGTCGAAAATTTCTCAAACGAAGCTCGGGCTACTCCGCGACAGACCTGTTGCGATTGAGGCACCCCCCGAAAGATGGTCGACGCTGAAACTGATGCCTCTTGCAGCAAAAAAACTTTTGCACCCAACCTCTTTTTTTCTGCCTTTTCTTCGCGATGGGAGGGCCAATACCGCCTACTGGCGGTATTTTACCGAGTAAATCCTTGAAAAAAAGAGAGAAGGCTCCAACCATACGAGGGAGGGGGGTGCACACGGAGGCTCCTCTGAGGCATTGACGTGCTATCTTGAAGAAGTCACGTGTTGTACGTCAACACACACATTGGGGGTGCCAAACTTGCTCCAAAGATTCAGCAGACGGTCCATAAAAATCGCAATTGTGAAACATGCCCACACCACGCTGGAAACGGCACGAGCCGGACAATCACAGAATATACAAACCGCCCTCACCTTGTTGTACCCGTTGTCCACAATGCTGTAGTTTCCTTTGCGCTCGAAAGGTTGGCCATTCTTGTCGAAGAGCGTGTACACCTTCTCCGTGTAGACAGGGTCACGGCGGATCGTCGCCACTGCCGTGACGTACCGGATGATGGTCTTGTCGTTCATGGCACCGGCGAAGCCCTTCGTAACGGCAAGGACATGTCTGGTGTGATCTACGATCGCCTGGTACGCGATACTCGGGAACCCTTCCTCCCCCGTGCACTGCTTTGCCCAAGAATAGGGGCAGCACGCCCACCGGATATGGGTGACGTCGGTTGACCCTATCGCTCCCGTGAACCCCAGGAGATCATACGCCTCCATCACCTGATAATGTTTATATCGATCCGGGAAGACGTCGTGTGCGTTGTGGGGCACCAAACAAAGCAATAACAACTTCGTCGTTGCAAGCAAAGCTTGCGCGCAGCTAAACCAACATGAGAACATTACGCATTGCGATAAACGTGCTCGGCCGTGCGAGCGCATCGTTTGAGACCATTCTTATTGCTTGCTAGGGTTTTGTGTTTTTCAATCACGCACACTGTGCCTTTCAATCAAACACGCTCTAACCCAACACGCGGGACGCACACATACGCAAGTTTTTCTAGTGTAGACAGGATGGACGAATCAATGTTGACCGGCGCCTGTCAAGAGAATACACAGAAAACATGTTTATTTTTGTTTCTGTTTTCGTCCTTTTGATTATGGCGACAGTTCCTCCATTCTTCGTGGTAAGACGTGTACTGCACTTTTCTGCGCATGTAACTAGAGTACTACAGTTCNTGCTCGGCCGTGCGAGCGCATCGTTTGAGACCATTCTTATTGCTTGCTAGGGTTTNCGGGACGCATACATACGCAAGCTTTTTAAGTGTAGACAGGATGGACAAATCAATATTGACCGGCACCTGTCAAGAGAACACACAGAAAACATGTTTATTTTTGTTTCTGTTTTCGTCCTTTTGATTATGGCGACAGTTCCTCCATTCTTCGTGGTAAGACGTGTACTGCACTTTTCTGCGCATGTAACTAGAGTACTACAGTTCTCAGTGTATTCTTTCGTACAACTACAACCATCCAGGGTCACACCGGAGGGGTTAAACCCCAGGGCTTATTTCTTACATGTATTTTGTCCAAATGTCCCACCTTCCTCCTGCGTTGTGGGCTGAGTTTTATTATATCGCGAGAAGGACCAGCCGTCCCTTTCCTTGTCAAATGTGCTAACGTCGAAGTTGGCACTCACGAGAGCTTTTCAGCTATATTTCCCTTTCAACCGCAAACTTTAAAAAAAAAAATCACCCCATGGGGATTCGAAGTCAAGACCTCTGCGTCTAGCACGACCTCTGCGACTAGCGGTTTACGAGGATACCACTAGACCACCGGGGCGACCGGTNNNTTTCTATCGCGAGAAGGACCAGCCGTCCCTTTCCTCGTCAACTGTACTAACGTCGAAGTTGGCACTCACGAGAGCTTTTCAGCTATATTTTCATTTCACCCGCAAACTTTATTTTTTTTTCACCCAATGGGGATTCGAAGTCAAGACCTCTGCGTCTAGCACGACCTCTGCGACTAGCGGTTTACGAGGATACCACTAGACCACCGGGGCGACCGGTTGCGCAAGGAAATACGGACGGAATGGTCTTCAACGGATACAGCGGAAAGCAAGTGTAGTCGCACGAAGGAAAAAAGTGCGGCAGACATTTCATGAAGTGTAAGTCACCTTGTCCTGGTCCTCGCCAGTGGGCATACACACGTGGTCGTGATAAAACTCCTGGGCGAACAGCTACGTGAACTTGTGAAAGGTAGCCTGTATAACGCCCTCATTCATGTGTGAAACCTGGCTCATGTCCTCGAAGAAGTTTCCCCTACCCAAGATGTGCAGGGATAACAAGACCTGTGCACATAGACGTCGTGCGCGGTGTACGGTCGGCGGGAATTGATCGTCGGTTGTCAGGTTATTCGCGGCGCTGCATTTTCGACTACTTAAAGAATATGGCATACCGGAAGGGGCATGAGCAACACAGCAGTATCTTCCTGCAGCAGCAGCCCTGGCGATAGACGTAGAAAATGGCATGAGGGGGGGGTGGCGAGAGTAAAATCTACCTGCAGCAGCTTCTATAGGTGTACACGTTTTTCTCATATTTGGCACAAGCCCTGCGGTCGACGGTTCGACTTTGTTCTGCTGCGCACTTCGTTCATGGATGTAGACTATTTGTAGACCATACTTACGTTGCCCTTGCTCTCCTACGACACCCAGTCGCGCCACTCTGTATTTCACATACTACGTGCGTGCGTGTGTAGACCATAACATTGTCCTTGTTCTCAGTGTGCACACAAATATGCATATAGTCTAATAGTCTAGATGGATGCATGCATGCTAGTTTTGGAATCGGCACGTCTCAATAATACATCACCTTCAGCTCGACTGGGATGCGCATGCGCCCGGCCACACCTTTCTTGCGCACGGGGAACCACTTCTTCTTGACCAGCTCCATGAGCTCGGTGAAGAACTGGTAGGGGATGCGGAAGCGCCTCCGAAAAAGCTTGGCGTCTCTTGACGCTGGTTCCTTGAGGCCCGTCTCGCCCAGCATGCACCACCAAAACGAGGCGCGGTATTCTGGCCGTGGAAGAACTCGGCGGGGACGCTTCACGGGGGAGCCACCGCCAAGGCCTTCGTCCTCCAACTCGTCGCCATCTAGGAAGGACCGCAGGACAACTCGCCAGGTCGCCATCGTGAGCACAGCGCGTTGCCGCTCGCGACGTCTCCGCTTCGCTGCTGCAAGAACAAGTAGGTGGGCATGTCGTTCGTCGTCGCTGCCGCTGTCGTCGGCCGCACTCGCATGCTCCATCGCGCACCCGGTCCAGTCTGTGCTGGGTGCTGGAAAGCTCGTGCACACACACGCCACGCTCGGTTGCCGCTCGGGAAGGATGCGGTGTGACCCCACGAATTCGGTGTGTTCGATCAAAACGAACAATCCGTCGGCAACATCCGGGCCCGATTCCCATACGATATATATGCCCAACTTTCGTTGGGCCTCCGGCCCAGATGTTCCAAACGAATTTTTTGACCCTAAACCCGCCGCATCCGTGCCCATAAGATGGACATGCCACGAAAATTGAAAAATAATCCGTTCCGTGGCCAACTTTCGGGAGCCATAAGAGTCAGCCTTAGGCCCATGTTTATGGTCACCAAATCTTTGAAATAAAACTTCAAATGTTTCCAAACATTTGCGTGCGAATATTTGTCAAAGGAAGATTTGAGTACCGCTGTTATGGGAACGAGAAAAATATCTTCGGCGGGACTGTGAGTTTCGGAGGCGTTTTGGTTTGTTTACATAAAGCACGCGGCACGGGGCCTCCTNATGTTTATGGTCACCAAATCTTTGAAAAAAAACTTCAAATGTTTCCAAACATTTGCGTGCGAATATTTGTCAAAGGAAGATTTGAGTACCGCTGTTATGGGAACGAGAAAAATATCTTCGGCGGGACTGCGAGTTTCGGAAGCGTTTTGGTTTGTTTCAAAAAGCACGCGGCACGGGGCCCCATTCTCTCACGAGCAACACGCGCACACCAGCTGGCGCACACAGTTATCACTTTCCACGCCCACACACATACACACGCCAGACACACGCCACACCACACACACACCACGCACACACCCCGGTGGTCTCCGAGTTCGACACAGCAGCATCCCGCAAATCACGATGGCGGTCGATTTCGCGAAGTCACAGAAGGCGCCCATGCTTCCCATCGATCTCTCGGAGGACTTCATGTTCGCCTTACGGAAGTTCTGCGGCACCTACGGCAACAAGACCATGACCCAGCCTGCCCTCAAGATGCTTCAGCCGATACCACGCGTCCACTCTGCTCTAGCAGTCAAGGAGGCAGACAAGATGTCGGCAGCACAGCGAAACCTGGCAGCGTCAAAGTGCATGCAAGAGATCGCGGTTCCTGGTTTCAAGCTGATCGAGCACGCCCTGAGCACCATGGACGGGCCGCTGCAGATGCCTCACAAGTGAAAGGACATGGTGTACTACACGACCCTTGGTTCAGGTGTGTATCTAATGTGGCTACATCAATTCGCTACACGTACCGAAGACTCATGTTGTGTTGTGCTGCTCGTGTGATGGCACGCCCGACCATCATGTGGAATGTAGCAAATAGTTGCAACGGCATTTTTAAATTTGAATTTGATGCAGACGTACTCACGAACACAGCAGTAGAGTAGGCATGCCATGGGAGTGAAAGGACGCACTTGCGGGCCTATTCTGTCCACCGAATGAGAAATACAGGTGCTGTGGGAGAGGTCGATTGGACCGGAGCTGGCATTTTGGCATGTTCGACGCACATATATTATCTGAAGAAGAGTGTGGATAATTTTGATCGAGCAGTTGCAGGTGCACCACGTGTGGTGTTCGTGAGTGGCAGTACCAGCGATCCACCTGCCACCTGCTATGTTGAGGATTATGGATAGTTCTAGCCACCTTTTGCAACACGGGTTGGAGTCGGGGTTCGTTTTGCTGGCAAGAGCAGTAGTGGTATTCGCGAAAGCTTTGCTGGCAACAGCAGTAGTATTCGCGAAACCATTCACCTCCCTCCAACGGTGTCTCCATGCATGCATGTGGTTATGGTTTGCGGCCGATGCGTGTTAGATGTCTGGGCGTGACTCTCTGTAAAAGGGGAAGTCTAAGGCATGAGCCTCCGGGGCGTCTGCGATTTGTTTGTGGGTGGAGACGCAGACAGACACACACCGACACCACCCGCAGCAGCAGCAGCAGCAGCAGCAGCAGCGGAAACAGCACTATTAGTCGACATCACCTCTGCTTCTATAGGCATTCCAGCCCCGAACGAATTCGCTGCCATGCCTGAATCAGAGGCATGAGGGCACACGTTGACGACACGTTCACCACGAGACAAGGTGGTGCTCAGCCTCCAAAAACCCACACAAATAGCGGACTTCCTCTCGCTGCCACACGCGCTGTTGCCGTTTGAAATGTATCGCAGGCACCTCCAAGGCGAAGACCTTCATGGAGAAACCGTCGACCGCCCTGACCAAGTTCAAGAGCTACAAGGCCGAGTACACGAAATTGTGGCTCTGGCTTGACACGTAAGTTTTGCGGGCAAGTCGGATTCTCAGCGCAGCGTATTTCCCTCTCTCGTGGCGTCGCACACTCCGAAAACCGGGAGACGAAAGCAATGCAACCCTCATTTCGTGTGTGGCAAACAAGATTGACGGTGCTTGACGTGAGGATCTTCGTAAAATCACGAGGGTTCTGCATGCCTGTGTTGGTCAAGCATGTGTGTGCGTGCGTGTGTTTGTCGTTAAGTACTCTACATAAAACGGGAGGATGAAGACACAAACACACACTTTCATTGGTCAGCCGGTTAGCGCGGTCGATGCCAAAAATTAAAATACAAACACACACATAGCGACAGAGACATGGACAAGGGAGGAGGGAGACACACCACCGGGAGAGCGAGACGGGAGGGTGTGCCCTGTACTACTGCTGTTGGCTATCGGTGGATTGATTAAGCGAGAGAAGAGAAGAAGCGTTTGGTTGTTGTGCGTCGTTGTTGTTGCGCTTTTTCGGCCAGCAGCGTTTTTTTTTTCGCATGAATCAGCGAGAGAGGCCCTTCTTGGAAGAGAGAGCCACACCAACACGCTAGTAGACGCCACCATTGATTGTGCATGCACTGCTGTGCACCTCATCATACTTTTGTGCGAGGGCCTACCGCTGTGGTGTGTCACCTGTGCCTTCCCTGCTAGTCTGGTCACCTATCACACGCGTGCCTTTGAGTTGCCAATTCAAAAACAGGAAAGAAACGTTTAGATAAAGGACCCTTTTTTTCTTCTGCTAGATGATTGCCACCCCCCCCAGGACTCGAAACGCACCAGCCTACTGCAGGTGTATAGCTTGTACTTCCCACCCTCTAATTTTGCCCTGCGCAAAATGAATGACATGACGTAGTTGGGCGTGCCTCGTCGTAAACAAAAATAACGAAGCCGGGACAGCAGCAACACTTGAAGGTTGAAAACTTGTTGCTACGCGTGGTCGAAAACACTGCTGTGATATATTTCCGTAACCGCTCACCGCGAATCCGTTTTGTTCNCGTAGTTGGGCGTGCCTCGTCGTAAACAAAAATAACGAAGCCGGGACAGCAGCAACACTTGAAGGTTGAAAACTTGTTGCTACGCGTGGTCGAAAACACTGCTGTGATATATTTCCGTAACCGCTCACCGCGAATCCGTTTTGTTCCTTTTTGTGTCAGGAACGACAAGAACACACCGTCTGAGCTGCCGTCTGGGACCAACACTTAGGACTCCCTAGAGGAGCTCAACGACGCCATGTGGTTCGAGTCGGACATGTACAAGCNGCAGGGAGTCCACCTGCAGGTCAGGGACCGGCGGCGCAAGCGGCGTTGGCTGAGACGGAGGTCCGCCAGGAACCGGGAAGTACGCCGATGTCGTTGGCAGCCGCCGCCGCCGCCAAAATCCGACGGGGNGAGGAGCTCAACGACGCCATGTGGTTCGAGTCGGACATGTACAAGCGGGAGAAGGCTAGATCGGACAAGGCAGGCGCTGAGGTTGCGGCTTTCCTCCTTCGGGGGGCGGCGGGGAGCGTCCACGTCGCCGGCTCCCCAGCCGGCTCCCCCGCTACCGGGGCGGGCGCCGGGAAGAGCGTTGACAGAGCAGGGAGTCCACCTGCAGGTCAGGGACCGGCGGCGCAAGCGGCGTTGGCTGAGACGGAGGTCCGCCAGGAACCGGGAAG